CTCCCTATTTCTTTGACATGACCATCAAAATAATTCAAGACCCCAATAAATCGAAGTATCTAAACGAAAACAAAAATTTAGCAGATTCCATTAAGATCTCGATCACATAATCATTCAACTATAAGATAAATATCGACCTCCAACCTGTATCTTCCACCTGATAATCAAAATCACGAATCAAAGATACAAACAGCCAGCTACAAACATGGCACATCACCAACCCTATAATAAAGCACAACAACATAGAAATTGAGCAGCCGTACAATAAGCACTCCCGTCAAAAGAAATCTTCTCCACACGCTCTCCAAAGTCGTAATTATGCTAACTCACAAAAGGCAATATCTCCGGTCCTGGACCTGAACTTGACTAATGTGAAAAAGTTTAACAAAGGGATTAGCAAACCGCTAACTCAGCAAGTGAAATCTCAAAGTTTACAAAGGAAGATCAAATTCATTCCCGATCCAAACCTTGGGAACTCACATAACAAATCTGAGTAACATGTATACAAGTATCACGATCAGGTTTCAAATCCAAGACAATAACCTGTTTCATATACAAGTTCAATAATCATGTACAACAAACAATACGCTTCAAGGTGTACAAGTAATCCATATTCATGTCATTTTTCGTCTGCTGGCCTATGACTCATCCCGATTATTGAAGCAACCTTAGCAACGCGGGAATATGGAGTGCCTATCCATGCATCCACATGATATGATATCATATCACCAGACCGAAGTCCACAATATATTAATTGTCCAATTAAGTCCAAATTTGTCTAGTTAGATAAATTGTTTAGATTAAGCAATTATTCCTTAAAATTACTTAACTACCTATTACCATATAAAGTTTCTTATATCATTGATCTCTTTAGCATGCCTTTACATCTCTCTTCCATGGACAAGCGCACGTAGGACTGGGGGACTCTATGGGGCCGGCCATATATGCATGTGCATGGCACATGATTCACTTGTCCCTTTTAAATCCTCACCATTCCTAATCCTCGTAATCTCAACCGTCCGTCTCTTATCTATTTCACCCAAAGGCCATCCACCCCTCTTGCGTATCTTTTTAATCCTAACCGCGCATCTAATCCAAGGCTTTATCTAATCCTAATCAAATTAGGAGCACCAATGCCTATGAATAGAAAATACGGCCAGCCACTTTAGGGAACATGCTTCTCGATATGGATCGAACTTATTCGAGCCTTGTCATAGGGCAACTTATGAGCCGAGCCACCGGTTGATGTAGATAAAATTTATTTGGGCCTTCTCATTGGGCAAATTATGGATGCAGAATTAAGACCGAGCCATGAGAATTCGAATTTTCAAACTTTTGAATATTCTTTTTTGAAAATCTTTCTAAACTTCACTGGATTATGCTGATCAATCTTATTATTTTGTGAATCTTTGTTTTGTATACCTATCCTGAGATCAGCTATTTTCAATGTTTGTTTCTTCAACTAAGCTTATTACTTATGACAAGACTCTATTGTGAACTTTCAAGTTTCAATGGCTTATGGGCTTTATGGTAGATTGTTTTGAGCATGCTTGATCTCATAAGAAGGAAGTGCGCAGTTGCTGGCTGAGCCATCGTGCTCGCTTATCTCCAAACATTTCAGATTCTAAAGAAGATTGGAGAGCGAAATCAAGGACTTTGGAAACGAGATAAAGTAAATTTTCCACCGTTTAGATGCTAAATAAATTTTGGATTGTTCGTCCATATAGTATTCGAATTTACTTTCGATTATCTTAAATAATTAGTTGCTCTAAAGTTATCTTAAGTTATTACTTGCTCTAAAGTCAACACTCAATCTTTCTTCCCTTTTTTTTATGAATTTCAAAAGAAAATTTACCTATTTAACCTTGAAATTCATTGTAAAAAAATCAATTTTAATTGATTTCACTCATTTAAGAAAAAGATTATAATTTACTACGTCACATATAACCACGTCATCATTACTATATCGGTGACAACTAATGAAACAATATGCTGTTTCACCGGTACTATCATACTAAACTTTCCCAATTTGATTACTATTGCTGTTACTCTCAGTAATATTAATAATTGGGGGATTGATACAATAAAGAATTCATTAAGTGATATCGTAGATATTGCTAATTATATCAATGGAGACAGGCAAGACCAATCTTTCATTGAGTTTTTTTTCCTTCCCATTTCTTTGAAAAGTCAACTTATGTGAATTAATAACATTTTTCGTGTTATTAACCATTGGATATCGAGCCTTGCTTATCTATTAAACATATTCAAATGGCTATACTAATAAGATATATGAGAGATGATTGTACAATAATAGTGTTTTCAATTTTTTGTTTCTTAAAGTGATAAAAAAATTAGGTACAATACTAACAAAAAAAAAAAAAACTAGGTACAATACTAACATTAACTCTACTGAAACAAATACACCAGGGTCAAGATTTATATATTTGATCATCGTGCCCCGTCAATTGCACAGGGGTTATTCTAGTTGTTCAAATTAAGGTCGGCAAAAGTACACCATAAGTGCCATAACTTGTGTACGGCGCTCACTTTGGTGCCATAACTTTTTTTCGGATCACTTTGGTGCCAAGTCGGAGGAAAATCGATCACTTTAGTGACTCCGGCCAAAATTCCGGCCAAAAAGCCGACCTGGCTTTTTTATTTAAAAAAAGAGTGTAACGTGGATATTGGGGTCAACATTTGATGTCCACGTGGACGAGCAAAACGACGTCGCTCAGTCCACGTGGACAAGAAGGACGACGTCGTTCCATTTAGGACAGCAAACGACGTCGCTCAGTTCAAAGGTCTTAGCATCGCGTCGCTCGTCACACCTGCTCTGTCTCCCTCGTCCAGTCGTCGTCGCCTGTCGCTCGTCGCTCGTGGCGCCCTCATTTCGTCGCCGTCGCCAACGCCGTCTCTTGCTTTCTTGCTTCCTCGCGGTCGGTCGGCGTCGCTCTCTCATCCCGTGGGTGAGCATCACTCGTCCCGTCGGCGTCGATCCCGTCTCCGTGGCAAATTACGAAGGTCGGTCTTCAAATAAGGGCTGTTAATTTCTATTTTGCTGAATTGATCGACACATTGTGCTTCATTGTCGTATGTTTCACTCAATTAATTGGTAGATTAGGGCTGCCTTCGGGAAATTAGGGTTTGAAGTAGGAAATTAGGGCTCGAACTTGGGAAATTGGGGCTCGAACTTGAAATTAGGTCTTGAACTTCTGAAATTAAAGCTTGAACTTCATAAATTATGGCTAGTTGTTCGGATATTAGGGCTTGAAGTGGATTCGATTGTGTTGGTGCCGGGCTGAGTATATGCGATAGACTGTGGTCCATGTGGGGGACCTCTGTCATTGTCACCCATGTGGTCTGATGGTGGCTTTTTCAATCTTGTCGACCATGTGGGGGACCTTCATGTGAAGCTGTGCTCTTTTTCCTATGTGGTGTGGTCCCGAAAGCTAAAATATTGAATTTTTTGGCTTTTTTCCTTCAATGCAGGGTCGATATGGGGGATAAAGACACAATTATCGGCATCATTGTTCGCTATGGAGGAGAATTTGTCATCGGCACTGACGAGTGGGAATACTTTGGGGGACTTGAAGGTACTGTTTATTTCGATAGAAGCAAGCCAGCATATATTAATCTCATGAGGGATATAGTTCAACAATTAAGATGTAAAATAGGAAGTTTGCATTATTGTGTTCCTGGAAGCAGCTTGAAGGACGGTATTAGAAACTTTCATGATGATAATGGTGTTAAGGATATCATCTACCATTATCTTCATGGAAAAGAAGCTGTTGTGTACGTTGAGTCCTATAGTGATGGTGAATCTGATGAAGGGGCTGAGGGAGGAGACGTAGGTGATGGTGCTGCTTTACCTAGTACTCAGGTTGGTGCTAGTTCTATTATAGATGAAGCTGGACATGAGAGGGATGAGAGGGAGGCAAGCCATGCAGTGAGTGAAGAGTTCACTGAATTTGAGTTCACTGGATTATCGTGGGAAGTTACTGTATCTAGTGAATCAGATGATGAGGGTGTGACAAATGTAAATTTACCAAGTGAAGATGACGATGAGGAACTTGCACAATCAAGGCAAAAGCAAAGGGAATTTGGAAAAAAAATCAACAGCTGCACTTGGAGGATTGCATGAAGCTGAACCAAGACATAGCATTGATGGAGCTCCAGCTGAAGGTAATGACACTGATTATGAAGAAAGTGGCTCTGATGAACAGAATGATAATTCTGAAAATCAGCATGAAGATGATAATCCCGTTGTGCGCAGAAGGAAACGTAAGTATCCGTTATACGATCCTGGCTCTTCTTCTTCTGTGTTGACTGTAGGTCTGAAATTTTCTGATGCCAAACAATTCAAAGAAGGGATTATCAAGTATTCAATAGCTGAACAGAGGACTCTTCAGTTCACTCGAAATACGCAGGACTATGTTAGAGCAAAGTGTTCTCAACCTAGTTGTTCGTGGAAGATATATGGCGCACGTTCAAAGAGGGACGAGTCATTCCAAATTAGGTCATTACAGGAGGAACATACTTGTTCCATCATGTTTGACAACAAAAGGGTAACGGGTGCTTGGTTGTCGAAGCACTTCTTCGATACCATCAAAGCGATGCCTGATGTGAAGAGTGCTCAGCTGAAGCAGTTGGTGAGGGAGCAGGTAGGGATTAACGTGTCACTCAATCAGTGTAAAAGAGCCAAGTATAAGGTGATGAGAAAAATTCTAGAGAGGTACAAGGAAGAATATGGTCAAATTTGGGAATATGTTGGAGAATGTAGGCTGCAAAACCCGGGTAGTCGAGTTTATGTTGAGGTTGTGGACCGGCCACTGCCTAACCATGGGACTAACTTTGACCGAATTTATATTTGCTTTGATGCATGCAAGCGGGGATTTGTTGCTGGTTGTAGACGAGTCATAGGGTTAGATGGATGTTTCTTGAAGGGTGTGTGCAAGGGAGAATTGTTGGCTGCCATTGGGACGGATGTCAATAATAAGATGTTTCCAATTGCTTGGGCTGTTGTGAAGGTAGAGAGCAAGGACACTTGGTCGTGGTTCCTGAAAAATTTGATGGCGGACCTTGAGATCACTAATGGAGGAGGTTGGGCATTCATGAGCGACCAACAAAAGGTAATGCTGGTGCAACTGCACAAACAATATTTATGACATTTTATCTTGCACATGCCTTTATTAATGCCTTGATGTATGAATTCTTGTAGGGACTTCTTCCTGCTCTAGCTGAGTTGATGCCATTTGCTGAACATAGGATGTGTGCGAGGCACATATATGCAAACTGGGCAAAGATCTACAAAGGGGAGAAACTACAGAAGCAATTTTGGATGATAGCTAAGAGCACCAACATGGCTGATTTTAGAATTCACAAACAGTAGCTGCTTGACTTGACGAAGGACGGTTATGAAGCACTTTTTCAAACTGAACCCAGGCATTGATGCAAGGCCTTCTTCAGTGAAGAATTCAAGAGCGATATCATTGATAACAATCTTAGTGAAGCCTTCAATGGCAGAATTTTAGAGGCGAGGTGCAAACCAATCATCAGCATGCTTGAGGATATTCGAGTGATAGTCATGACAAGGCTGCAAAAACAGAGAGATGAGGCTGCGAAGTGGACTGGACAGTGTGGTCCTAGGATTGCTAAAAGATTGGATGACAACTTGGCGAGTAGTAGGTTCTGTCATCCTATCTGGAATGGAGATGATGGCTATGAGGTCATGGAAAAAACAGACAAGTATGTTGTCCAATTGGACAAACTAAAGTGCTCATGTCGAGTTTGGCAACTTTCTGGAATTCCCTGCATACATGCCATTTGTGCCATCCAAGCGAAGTACCAAAATCCCAAGGATTACCTGCATGGTTACTACCACAAAAGCACATATCTTGCTGCGTACCAGCACATGATGCAGCCTATTAGAAGTACAAAATTCTGGGAGCCGACAAATCATGAAGCCCCTCATCCTTTACCACTTAAGAAACAAATGGGAAGGCCTAAAAGGAGACGAAGAAAGCAGGAGGGAGAGCCCAGAAGTAAGAAGATGAGCAGGTCAGGTGTAGAGATAAAATGCTCATATTGTCGTGAGGTAGGTCACAACAAAAGTGGTTGTCATTTGAAGAAGCAACATCAGTTGCTTCAACAGCCAAGTGGAGGGACTCAAATTGGATCAAGTGCAGCACCAGCACAAGAACCAGCTGAAGGGGCTGCTGAAAGGCTTGCTGGAGGGCTAGCTGATAGGCATGCTGATTGTCTAGCTGAAGGGCCTGCTGAAGGCCAAGTTCAAGAACCAGCTGAAGAGCCAACCGGAGGCCCAGGTTTAAGGGCAACCTCCTCCTCGACTGTTGCACAGGCTAGGAGAAAATATCCAGTAAGCTATATGTATTTGTATTAATCTTTAGTGAGCAGACTTTGGCTTTAGTTGACATTGTTTTGTTCTTATCAGTTGAGAAGAAAACCAACTGAACAAGCAGCTCAGGTTCCTCAAAGTGTGGCACCATATCAAACAAGAGGGGTCCTCGGCAGAAGATTAAGGCAATATGGTTATGGAATTTATACGGACTTCAATACTGGAATGACTATTTTGCATGTAAGTTTTGTACATCTTATGCATTTCATTCGTGAGTTTTTCACTTTTATGAAAATATTGCTTCTTCTCATCCATGATTATGTTATAGCCTGGGAGGAGTTCAGAGGTTCTCATATCTCAAGTTGGCCCAAGCCAAGAGTCGAGCTGCACCAAAAAGAATCCAACCAATGTCGCAAGCAGCTGGTCCGAAGAGAAGAAGGGTGGCTGCAGAGAAGAGTGTTCGTAAACTGCCACCAACAAAAAACTCAACACTAGTTCCTGATCAACCAGCACATGCTGACAGCTCCAAAACAGCCACCAACACCAGTAAGAAGAAGATAGTTGCTGCGCCTAAGAAGAAATCTCGAGCAAGAAGGCCAGTAGAACAACCTGCTGGTCCAGCAGTTGAAAAAGATGCAGCTGGAGCAGTTCAAGAAGAAGCAGCTCTAGCTGTTGAAGAAGATGCAGCTCAAGCAGTTCAAGAAGAAGCAGCTCCAGTTGTTGCAGAAGATGCAGCTCCAGCAGTTCAAGAAGAAGCAGCTCCAGTAGTTCAAGAAGAAGCAGCTCCAGCTATTGAAGAACCTGCATCTTCAGAAGAACAACCTGCAGTTTGTCCAGTTCGAAAGAGTCAAAGAATTATGAATCAATTCAAGAAGCCGTCGAAAGGAAAAGGAAATGGTGGACTTATCACTATTGACTAATGAGAGGGTGTTGAGGTGATTGTTAGTTTTTGTGAAATTAGGGAGGTTTACCGTATTGGCTAATAGGAGGTTGATTTTTTGTAGTCCTGGAATGTTATTGACTAATGGGATGTTGTGTGTAATGACTAAATTCGATGTTTACCGTGGTTAAGGTGGTTGTGATTTCCATATTTTTGCACACGTGTTTGTTCTGTTTTAGTATAGTACTGGTGTAGTGGGGTGCTTGTAAGTTGCCTCAGTAAGTTAATATTCAAAGAAATTTACTGATGTAGTTGGTGGGGAGGGTGGGAATTAGTGCTGCTAGTGCTGGTTTTTTGTGCTATTTTCAGGTGCAATATGGTGCTTGCACCAGCTGCTGATTTTGTGTTGTTTGAGAGTGCAGTATGGTGTTTGTACTAGCTGCTGATTTTGTACTATTTGGGAGTATAGTATGGTTACTATTTGGGAGTATAGTATGGTAGCTGCTGATTTTGTCATATTTGGGAGTGCAGTATAGTGCTTGCACCAGCACGCCAGCACGTGCTGGTGCAAGCATTTTGAACCGGTTTTGAATATGGTTTGGGGGTTGTTTGGAGCTGGTGATTGAATATGGTTTGGGGGCTGTTTGAACCAGTTTATGAGTATGGTTTGGGGCGGTTTGGTCTTTGGTGAGCTGATCTTTGGTACAATTCTTGCTTTGATTCCGGAATGATCTGGTTTAAAGATTGGTTTGTTGGAACCAAAGTCTCCATTTTTCAAAGAAACACACGGCATGACACTTAAGTGATCAACTTTCGGCCACAATTAGCACTTAAGTGATCACTTTTGAACCACGACTGGAACTTAAGTGATCACTTTTGAACCACGACTGGCACTTAAGTGCTCACTTTTGAACCACGACTAGAACTTAAGTGATCACTTTTGAACCACGACTGGCACTTAAGTGATCACGATTAGAAACATTTGGCACTAAAATGTCAACTGCTGAACTTGTGACGACTTCATAATTTGTTGCTACGCAGAGTTGCAGCACTTGCAGCACCTCATTTTTCAATAGTGAGCCTTACTCCATAATATGCAACCATCTAACCAGATGAAAAAAATACAACAAATGAGCAAGTGAATATGCAGCAAATGAGCAAGTGCAGCAAATGAGCAAAAATATAAAGCAAATGAGGAAGTGCAGCAAATGACAGCAAATGAGCAAAAATATGCTGCCAATGAGGAAGTGCAGCAATGATAGCAAATGAGCAAAAATATGCAGTAAAATATGCTACAAACGAGAAAGTGTAGCAAATGACAGCAAATGAGCAAAAATATGCAGCAAAATATGCTACAAATGAGGTAGTGCAGCAAATGACAGCAAATGAGCAAAAATATGCAGCAAAATATGCTGCAAATGAGGAAGTGCAGCAAAAGACAGCAAATGAGCAAAAATATGCAATAAATATGCTGCCAATGAGGCAAAACTGCATCAAAATATGCAGCAACAAAATACTAGGCAACTCAACATTGAGAACCAATAAATTCCAACCTTCCATTTGTCATAGATTGCAGCAAACCTCTTGTTACATACAAAAATTGCAGCAAACTAATAACACAACCGTAGCTACAAATTGCCAAATACACGTACATAGTACAAGCCTATCTTAAATTATGGTAGACTAAGAAACTTTTGCTCATAACTGACATTACATTTGACCATAAAATAGGCTATGAAAAATATCAATAACACAATCAACAATCGATAACACTTTCTTTCGATTTTCATCCTTCGAACTTCCTTCTTCAAATGGTTGGCCAGAGATGCTAAAGCCTTCATTTCAGCTTGCAATGAGTCGACATCGTCCAACTCGTCCAACTCGTCCATTAATGCAGGTGGAGGTTGATGTCGAGCTTCAAGTAGCTTCACTATCACCTCTGTTGCTCGATCTGAAAATTTCGCATCAACCCACTTGAAGAATTTGCACTTCCAGCCTTCTCTATACCTGGCGCATCCATGGAATCTTCTCCCGGGGTTCAATCGAGTCCAAGATGTTCTTCTTGGACTCGGTAATCCACAATAGCAGAAGAACCGACCTTCTTCTTCACTTCGTTCAAACGAATTTGAGCCGCTAGTGAAGCTCCTGCCATCCATTTGTAACCTTTGGCTGTCAATTTCGGGAAAACAAGGAAATAATATGGCCGGTTAGGGTTTGCAATTGGGGAATATGTCCAATTAGCCTATTTAGGGTTCCTATATTTGGGGGAGAAAGGTTGAACGACGTCGTTTTCGCTATAAGGGCTTACTGGACTCTCCGGCCTGCTCCGGCCAGCCATCTCAGCATCGAATATTAATAAAAAAGAGCCACATCAGATTTCCGGCGTGCCATGTCAGCTTTGGCACTAAAGTGATCGATTTTCAAAAAAGTTGGCACCAAAGTGATCCGAAAAAAAGTTATGGCACCAAAGTGATCGCCGTACACAAGTTATAGCACTTACAGTGTATTTTTGCCAATTAAGGTGACATGGTGGTCACTAATGGGCAATAAAAATGAGTGCTACTTCTCGGGTAGGAGTATTGACATTGCTGCCTCACAGCAGCGTAACATTTTCTATTCCAAAATAAGATACAGATGTGCTATAAGCTCAGGACACATTCAATAAGAAGAAAAGAAAAGGCATCCACGGACATTACACAATCAACTGGAGAGAACCAAGGGTATCAGATCGACGCCAAGCGCTGTTGACAAACTCAATTCCGAATGCTGCATACTGTTTGCATTTCTTTGCACAACCCTTAAGTAGAGAGATTTCTTTAACGACGAGAACTACTTGTTTGTGGACTGTCCATAACACCTAAGTATGTTAATATGGGCGAGAATATCTTTGCAGCTTCCGGATATCGGGCTATTCTATCCGATATCCAGTCTAGCTTGTTCTGTATCCAGACTGTGCATAATAGAAGAGAACATGGTATCAGGATCGCCAATAGTAATATCAACATGTGGCCCAGAGGACTGTATTGTTCATCCAGTAACGACCTGGACGGCACGTTTGCCATGCAGTTAACGTAACTACAAACCATCATGAAACTGGAGATCATCAGCAGCAACTTCAATGAAGGCCTTTTGGCAAGTTTTTTGGTGAGATGAA